AATCACGACACACAGTTCAACAATTAGCCACAGTCCAACAACGCTTTTAGACACAAAGTTCATATATATTGTAGATATGATCTACAAAATTCAGTAAACTACTCAGAAATAGATCAGGGGAAGAGCATAGGGATCCACTCTAGTATGTTGACTTTTGATAGTTAAATCGTTTTGTAATAATATTATTAAATATCTGTTTTACTTTATTTATAATAATTATTATAATATTGCTTTTGTAATTTATTAAATATTTAAATCCCAATACAAATTGATACGCCTATGTACTTACACATTGTCAAACGGCAAGAAGAGTTGAATATAATAGATATACGTAAGTTTATTCTCTCACTTATTTTAATTGAAACTTCAATAGCATACGCCTCTTACTATTGACAATATAGTTAAGCGTTTAAACTAGCAGATAGTATGGAATATACAAGTAAAATTTGCTCTTTAAAAAACTCTTTAAAATAGTACCTAAGCACTAGTATATAATAGGTATAAATTTTTTTTAAGTAGTTATACTGGGTGTTTTTTTAATATTGCGAAAAAATTCAGAGGTGTGTCCCTTGGACGAAATGAAGCAAAAAAGTTCCTATAAACATATGCGTAGAGTAGAGTCGCCTAATGTGGAATAGCATTTTATTTTAATTAAAAAAAAAGATAAACTTCAATTTTGTTTTTAGATATTTTGTATAGATATAGGTAAGGGTATTAGGGATATATAGTTCATGTCACAAAAATATAAATCTCCCAAAAAAATCATAAAAAAATAAGAATATAAAATGAGGCTTTTTTTAGATCTTCAAAAATGAGTTCCTAATGTGGAATACCTATGTTCTAAGCGAAAAATAGCATTCGTTATAAAATGTTGATTATTGAAAAAACTTTGTTTTTTGAGAAAGAAGTTTATTTAAACAATAAAGATACAAATATATTAGCACAAAGAATTAAAAAAAAAATTAAACTAACGGCAAAAGTCGCAAACGTAGGGTTCTTTTTCGGGTCCTGCACACTCTTCATGTGCCCAACAGTTACATAGCATGCACATTACCCAAATTTCTCCTTGATTATTATCTGAAAACTTATCTTCACAAAAAATGCAATGTGCATCTTGGTTAGGATTATTTTCCTGTTTTGCAAAATCTTCTTCGTCATCTGAAGAATTCTGCATGGAAATGCTCGATGCATCAGATTCAGCACTTGATGAAGACACATCTCTCTTTTGACGTTTAGTTAGTGTTTTCTTCGTATTACGTCTACCTTCTTGAGATGAACTACAAGATGGATTTTCGGAAAATACATTTTTTTTTACTATGTCCTTTTTTTGAGTCGCTGCGTTTGTGTCTTTCATTTGAACCGATTTCTCTAGGTCTTCCTTATTTGGCGTAGTAGTTATTATTTTGGCTTTTCTGGGTTTTCGGCCTCTAGTGCCTACTTTTCTCTTTACGGTCGGTATTGGTGAAATATCTTCTGGACCAACAGCTTCTACACTTGGATTTCGGTTTTCCTTTTCTTCTTCTGCGGCAATCATTATTGGCTGTGGGGTGGGATTATTGGCTATTGGACCAACATTACAAACCTCTTGTTCAACGGTTAGAAAGTCCACTTCGCTGAAAATGTTTCTCCTAGTAGGATAAATTCCTGTAGTTGCGAACCCTTTGACGGCTCGCTCCGCCGATTGCGTCTTTAAATAGGCTTGCCCAAACAGTTCGCAAACATCAAAGTGGGATATTGGACGTTGATTATTCCATAAAAAAATCCTTATTTCCTTATTGTAAAATGCTTTTAATGCTCCCATTACAGTTTTATCTAGAGGCTGCATTTTGTGGGAGGTGTGTGGCGGCAAGGAAAGAATTGTTACAAAATTTTCTTTAGCCTTTATTATAACATCAAGGTTTCTTCTATGTATGTTGTGTCCGTCTAAAAGTAAAAGAATAGGGTTGGTTTCAGATGGATGAACATATTCGATAAAGTGCTCGAACCAAGCTGTGAATAGATCCATTTGTATCTACCCTGATGGATGAAATTTAAATAAAGTTCCAGGTGGAGCACCCTTTTTGAGTTGTTCATTGCAATTCTTACGAGGGAATATAATCATTGGTGGAACAAATGTTCCATCTGCGCTCATACACATTAGAGATCCCCGTTCTGCGGAAGTAATAGCTCCAATTTGACGTTTGCCTTTCATTGCTAAAATTTGGGGGCATTTAGATTGGACGATACATATGCCACATTCATCCACATTGAAAATCTGCCTAGGAGCAAAATTCTTTTCTTCCATGACGTGTTCAAGCAAGTCAAAGAACTCGTTCACACTTTGTTTATTAAATCCGGCAGCCCTTACAACCGATGTTCCTGTTGGTCTTCTTATGCTAATTTTATCTTTGTGTCTTTTCAGAAATCCTTTGAGCCATTTTTTTCCTGCAGATTCCTGAAGCAATGAAAACTTATTCGAAATATTATTACGTCTCGCCAATTGAAATGCAAGAGAACGTAGATCTCTCCTAGTCAATCCAAAAAAGTTTCTTTCCATCTTAAGAATGTAGTCCACCAGCTTGGTTTCCAATTCTTTCGATAAAATAGGGTTTCTTCCTAAGGTTTCCTTCTTGATATCGATAATATTTTTGTCGCTTTTACAATATCTAAATAATGTGGCACGGGGAACTTTGTAGTGTTTGGCAGCTCTTAAATATCCCATTGTATGAGTTCGTACTGCTTCTACTGCATTTTGCATATCTTCTTCCTTCCATTTGTGCTCTTTAATGTTGTTTTTTGGCATTTTTCCTGAAACAAATGCAAATATGCTTAATTTTAGTTATAGTTTCCTATTGTGAAATATTCCACTTTAGGGCACCTCTCCTATTCCACTTAAGGAGACTTTTATTATTTTATTTCATATCAACATAATCGAAACTAAAATGGTTATTTGCATTAAATATTAAGCATATTATAAAACTACAAACTATGTACTTTAACTCCACAAAATATCTTACCTTTAATATTAATACCAACGGAGATAACACACCTTTTATTTATTGGTACAAAAATGTCTACTGGGCTTGAAACTATATTTGCTTCGCTCCCGTCGAACCACTGACGCTATCCATATCAAAGTCTTCCACGTACGAAAACATTTTAGGTGGGGCGTTTGATGCACTGGCTTGTAAGTAGATGGCGCCTATAGATCACCGTATAACAGCGTATTCCACTTTAGGAACCTATTCCACATTAGGCAACTTTACTCTACCGATTTTTTTTTTAAGAAATATTCAGTTCAAAGGCCGCATGAACGCCAATGGCGAATGTAAAAGTTTAAATTGTGTATCGGAAAATGGCTTTGGATGCATATAAACTGCGTACGAATTTCAGAAAAATATCTACAGGGGTATTAAATGTATCGCAAAAAATTTAGTTTTTTTCTTATAACTTTACCACCCTGTTGTTCAAAATCTAAGAGGCGTAGGACATATGTTCATACGAACTTCTTTGTTTCATTTCGTCCAAGGGATACGCCTCTGAATTTTTTCGCAATATTAAAAAAACACACTGTATAAACATTTAATTTATGTTTTTAAATAACCCAATTTTATATGTTCGAAGAAATTTCATCACAATTTTAATCAGTTATAACTAGAGATAAAACAAATATTTGATTTTAGTTTTCATTATTACTATTATTCTCAATGTACTAGACATGTAGACTCTACAGGATTAGTATTTCGCTATCTAGCTAGTTGAAAACCTGTAAATCACACTTTTAATAACCGTCTAGGTTTTGCTATAAATTCCATTGTTAGCTTTCAACCAGCACTAAGCTCTACATTCCTAATACAGCTGTCTAAAAGTTTGTAAATATTGTATTATCCGTACATGCTTTTTTTCTTTCAACAACATGCGAATTCCTGTCTGTATCAAACTATCCTTACAGTATAATATTTGAACCTCTAATCCTTATTTTTAGTTTCTAGTTAATGTATTATATATTAAGCATTGGATAACTCATCAACCTGGTAAAATGAGTAATTTAATCTAATGTTTTAGCTGTTTTAATATGCATGGCAAGGGTGGCTCCAGGAAGGGCGCAATTGAAGAGTGGAAGTAACTAAAAGTAACGTCCAACATCCTAATGAAATAGAAGACAACAAATAATAAATTAAACTTGTGCCAATAAAACTGTTCCATTAATTTTACCGAATTTGTCCACCTATATTATAAATGTTATCTCCGTAAACTACCACATTACATTCGATTATATGTTGAGTTTTCTGTGTGAACTAGTTCGTACTACTTAGAAAAGGCTCGTCTGGTGTAAAGTATGAATTATTGGAAGTCGTAAAGCATTGGAGGACATACGTCTTTCTCTAATAGAGATTTAGTAGTTAGTTCGGCACCAGGAAGGATATCCTGTGAAATATGTGGCGTTACGTGAGTTAAATACGTTTTCCATCGTCTTGGAAAATTGGTTATTTTCATCGTGAAGGGGGATTGCAGAAATAGTTGAATTGTTGAGGGCATAATAGATAGCAAATGGATTGTAATTATTAAACCCAGAATAGTATAAATAGTCTATAATGCTTTATTAGTTTATTACATTAACAGTGAATATTAAAACACAACAAGCAAAATAAATTGTAAATGTAAATTGTAAATTTATATTATTTTTATTTACCTATATCTAAAAACTAAATATACAGTCACAAAATGCTCCTATAAGTCTATAAACTTACCTGATATGATATCCTATGTACATTTTTTTTGACGATCTAAAGAAAGACACTTTATTAAATTAGACATTTTCTAATTATTATAATTAATCATATGGGTAGCAACGTACTTTAAAAATTTGAATATTGTTAAGGAATTACAAACAGGATTTTGTTCCATTTTAACCTTAGAATGCACAGTGTGTAAATACGTTGGAAAAGTATCGACATTGGATATAAAGTGTGACATGGACATAAATATTCGAAATGTGAATGGAATGACGAGGGTTGGAAATGGATTTAGTAATTTGCAGGAATAATGGGTTAATCTGGAGTACTTCTTCTGAAAAGCAAGATAATTTCTTTGAAAATATAGAGCAAATAGCCTTTCAAAATATGAAAGATGCAGCTAATGAAGAAACTGACATTGCAAAAGAACAAGGATCTATTGGTTTTGATGGTGTTCCAGAAATTACAGTTATTTTTGACGGAACCTGGAGTAAACATTCTTATAAAAGAAATTATAGTGCATTGTCAGGAGCTGCCATTATTATCGGCAAAAATACAGGAAAAGTTTTACATCTGTGGGTTCGTAATAAATAAATACTGTATGACTTGTGCTTGATATTACAACTGCAATGGAAGCTGCAATTATCGTTGCTGAAATCTTTTTTATGTTTATTTTATAAATTAGTAAAGAGGGGGGGGGCAAAGTGATTTGTCCTTCAGGGGTTTATAATAATAAAATTTCTTAACTATTTGGTGGGGGGAAGGGGTAGTAGCGAAAATCTGATTAATTCTTATATTTTGGTTCGTTATACAAACGTGAGTGGAAGGGGGTTAAATTTTTTCGTAACAAAGTCCAATCTATTGTATCCAAAGTCCAGCGGTTCCACTTATCAACATCCCATGGAGTGGGGAGAGAAGTAGGAGAGGGGTAGGTTGGGTGATTTTTAAAATCGCTTCAGACGGGGCCTACAGTGCTGCTATATTTTTTTTATCGAGCAGGTTCAGAGTGTGTTTAGGGCACGTTCAAAGTAACGCAAGCGTACGCAAGTTGGTATTCAACACTTTCAATAGCCATTGCTCCATTTTGTGTAATATTAATTCTAATTGTTTTATTTGTTTACTGTTTTGGAAAAAGTGTTTAGGGCTTTAAGCATATAAAAGTATGTTGCGAATTCTTCCATATTCTGTTTATTTTCTTATAGATTGAAGTAGCAGCTCAAATTGAATAAACAGTTTTGTTAATATTTGAAAAACGATGAAAAACTACTAAACTAATCTATCCATTCGTAATTAAGTCCTTATTTATTGCAAGAATTCAGATTGTGTTGTATATTAAGTTGACAGAGCTGTCACATCGGCTGCCGCATTAGAAAGAAGGAGACAGTTGCTAATTTGAGTGCGGATGGTTTGTGCGAGTTTGTTAATCTGAGGAACGAGTATGCGTTTTATGGATAAATCAGTACTTATGTCTACAAGGCTTGCTTTACACGGCTGTTACATTTCAAAATTAATTGTAAACTTTGTTGGAAATCACCTTCAACTGTGATAGTTTCAAGGAGAAAAATATAATAAACTGAAAATAACTGGTCTTAAGCATACACATATTCTTCTTTAGTGTAAATTTAAAGGCCTTTTGTGGGTTTTAGAGTCCTACAATAAGTCAATACCGAAATATAAACAATAATTGCAACAAAACTCTCACATACTCTCTTATAATAATTTGATAACTACGTGGATAACACCGTGAATGTTTGTAATTCAATTTTTTTAAACAAAACACAGTGTCTATGTACACGCTAACTTGTACGCAATTCAAACAGTTATATACACGCGAAACGTCTTGACAGAGTAGGTGAGCTGTGTCTAGGCCGTTGGTGTTTATGCCGGTCGGCGTAGTTAGGTATGGATTGAAATTTTCTTGTAGCAGCGAAGTCGTTGCTTTGTTTTTTTGTTGTCATGGCAATATTATTATTTGTTTAGGCATGTAAAATTTGCTTCTAAGGTATATAAAATACTACTGCTAGTCACGGCGTAAATGTAAACATATAAGACGAATTCACACAAACACCTAACACCACAGCAATATGACGTTTCGCGTGTATATAATTTTTTGATTTGTGTACACTTTAGCGTGTACCTAGCAACAGCGTTTTAATAAACAAAAAATAATAATTTATTCAAAATCGACTTATTTGTAACTACGTGGTTTAAACACCAACGCTGGTGAGCCCGATAGCCCCAAATACTAGAAATTTGGATAAATCCTCTGATGTTCCAACTAGAGGTAGGGATCTATAATGAGCCCAATATCCATAGACTTGGGACCGACGGCTCTACATCTCCTCCGAACAATGTCACACTCCACAATATACCGCGGAGTCATTAATATAGCGCCTGTCAGCTATGGTATGCAACTACGTGGGTTATTTTAATTATACATAGGTAACGGATAAATTATTGTTTTAAGTATTTTACAATTAATGAGTAAAACCCTAAAACACGTCAATATTTAATTTTAGATTGACATTTTTAAGCAATTCTATACCTCTTCCTTCAACACCCTTAGAGTAACAGCAATCCTTTTAAAATGCTTAAATGGAAGGAGGATACATGTGACAGTTCAGTTAAAAGGGTTTTCAATTATTTATTCAACAATATAAGGTTTTTTAATTTTATATATTCTCTGGTATTAAATGGGTATAAATTTGAAATATATTTGAAAGTCAACAACACCTATTTTTCTTAAGAATTATTTATGAAAATTACAGGAAACATGAAGCGCCCTGTACATAATTTTAAGGTTTTGTTTTATTTAACTACGAATATGTCCTTCGGTGGAATGTATAGTAGTCGCGCAAATCACCGATAATCGTGAGCTATTAAGAAGGCTAGCCTTAAAATTCACCAATAATTTTCTTGTATGTAAATAAGGCTCACCCGGTTCATTATTATTGGGTGTATGCACTAAATATAGAAACCAGGATGTGAAGAATGTTACTCTCCATTTGTTTTGTTTATCGATACCGCTTAACATACCATTTTAATGGGTTGTTGGTGGTATTTTTTTGTCAAAACCAATGTAATTAAGACTAAATTAAATACTGTACATATTAGACACAATAAACCAAATTTCCTAGATTTTATTTAAATATAACAAATTTTTTTACTAGATTTGAGCCTGAGGTTCATCATCATGCTTGAGTTTCAGCGTTACCTGACCCAAACAAAATTGATGTAGGTTATTAAACTAATATAAAATATCTGTCAACATTTTAGAAAAATATTCATTATTATACGATTAAAAATAAGCCTTCATCCAACTAAGAAAATATAAACAAAAAAGGAAAAATAAACAACAAAACAAAAGGAGTAAAAATACTGAGAAAACACCTCTTAGAAAGATACGAAAATGTAATACAAATTTTATTTAATGGTGACACAAATGTACATGCTTTAATAGATACAGGCTCAGATTTGGACATAATAATGCTATTATAAAAAAATATAAGCTTAAGAGATTTGAAAATCAATTAATAATAAAAAGTTTGGCTGGCAATACTAAAGTTTATTATAGAACAGATGTAAAGATTACGTTCAATGAGAATAGTATTAAAATAAAGCATGTTATTGTAGAAAATTTAAGTATTGATTTGATAATTGGCAGAAAATCTATAAAAGAACTAAATATTTTTGGTAATTCACTAAAAACTTATTTTAATTTTACTGATAATAACATTCGTCAAAGATTTCCAAACATATTAAATTATGACAACAAAAAACATTAAACTTTTGAAATAAAATTTGGTTTAAAAGCAAAGTGTAAAATAATAAAAACAAAACCTTACAAATTTTCTTCTTATAAGCAAACTAAAGAAATGTTAAAGAAAGGAATTATAACAAGATCAACATATACATATAATTCGCCGTGTGTGCTGAAAACTAAATCAGATGGATCATTTAGATTCTGCATCGATTTCAGAAAAGTAAACGAAGGGACTGAGTTAGATCCTTTCCCGTTTCCTATGATTAATGAAGTTATAAAAAAGTTTGCTGGATGCAATTTTGTTTTCAAATCTTGATTTAAAGCATGGATTCTGGATTAATATTATTATTACAACAAAAACAAGAAAATTTACTGCATTTGTGACCGAAGATGAACATTTTGAATTTATGTTATGTTGGGAATTGGGTGTTAATACACTGCGACCTAAAAGATCTATTGTGCCCTCTTTTGTCGCCAATGCACCAAGGAAATGTCTCAATGCCTATAACGACCCTTCCAATCCTATTTTCTCAAGGAAGTGTAGGATTTGAAGTGGCTTCAAGTTAGGTAAATCTCCCTCTTCTATTTGATATTCTCCTAGATATAGTGCCCTTGGATTCTGGAGTGCTACACATTTAGTTGAGATTGGAATGGAGGTTTCATCCTCCTCCTTACAGAATCTGCATTCACTATCCTCTAATACTCTCAGTTTAGTTAGGTGTCCTGTTAGTCGGCAATGCCCGGTAAGGATCTCTGTTACAATACGTAGCCTGTTCTTGCTCAGGCAGATGCAGGCTTCTGATCTTTTCTAGTTATATTCACCCAGAAGTATCTTGGCCTGTCTCAGCCCCAAGAGATTGTTCCAATTATCGGTTCTTCTACTGCCCAATTCTTTTTTAATCTCTCCTAATATTATGTTACTGCTGATACCGTAGAACGGCTCGGGTCCTACAAAGGGTGTTTGAGCCCATTTCCTTGCAAGACTATCTGCAATATCGTTACCCTGTATCCCGTTATGTCCCGGGACCCAAGTGAGAGTAACTCTATTTTTCTCGCCTAGCTTATTTAATTATTCTAGGCATCTCCAGACCATTTTTGAGCTGATTACGTAAGATCTTAGCACTTTGATGGCTGCTTGACTATTGGACATGATGATAATCTCTTGTCTATGATAGTTTTTCTTGATGTTGAACTGGATACACTTCTCGATGGCGTGAATTTCCGCCTGGAAGATGCTTGGGTATTTTTCCAAGCTTTCGGAGTGCTTGGTTCTCAGTCCATACACTCCTATTTCAGTTCCTTTTATGGTTTTGGAACCGTCCGTATACTACTAAATAGCACGTCTTTCGGTTGCAAGCGCGAATAATTCTTGGATCCATTCTTTCTTGCAGCCCAGCTCTGTGATTTTAAAGTTTCTAACAAAACTGTACTTTTTTAGCATTTCATCCTGGGGCATGTCCCAGGTATCTTTAGTCCTGAAGTACGTAGACTTTCGTCTGATTACTCCGTTTCTGATCATTCCATATCGTGTCCTTTTTGCCACATTCTCTGTCATCAAATGTAGAGGGGTGAAGTTTAAGATCACCTCCTTTGTGGCCGTAGGACAGGTTCTCATTGCACCAGTAATGCAAACATAGGCTAGTTTTTGTAGCTAAACTAGTTCTGTTACTCCAGGCTATAGCCCCGTAAGTGATGATTGGTCTCACTATTGTAGTATACATCCATCGCAGTATGTTTGGGTTACATCCCCATCGTTTGCCTGCAATGTTTCTGCACACCTTAGGGCTTTTGTGGCCTTATTTACTACTTTCTTCTCATGTGTATTCCAGAG